GAATGCTCATTCGGCGTTTTCCCATCGTGTGATAGTTAGCGTGTTTTTTTCTTACAGCCTGTGGAGAGAGGACATGCCAAGGAGGAGGATCTGTTCCACTTGAAACATGCAGATCCTTGTCAGAGTGAAGCTAACACATCTGTGAGACTGTGCGAGCAACTCGTGGCATTGTACCTGGGGTCCGAATTACACACCGGAGGGTCCAAATGCAAGGGTCTTGTATACAAAGGTTGCTACGGGGTAGGATTGGATAAGGGATATTATTGCACGGTCCACAACCCGAGAACTACATTCTATAGCGGGGTGCGCTTGTCAGAATGCGTGGAGGGAGACTTCAAGCGGTACAAAGACCGAACGCGAGTACGCGGTGCACAGTTTCCTCTCCATGCAACTTCGGAGATCCAACAGATGTACGGTAGTCTGAATATTACACCGAGGCGGATTGGAAAGAGCTTGAGTAGCGGCTCCTACCGAAGCCGTTCTCCAAGTCCCCCACTAAATCAAGGACGCACGTCGTCTTTCAAAGCTAAATTGGGATCCCTTCTTCGCAGGAAGTCCTCTAGGAGAAGTCCAAGTCAGGGTAAAAGTCCAAATTCGTCATGGATACCTCCGCCAGGGAAATTCAAATGGCAGTAATATCGTAAAAGGTAATCGTTGCCGTCCGCACAGTTTTCTATGTAAAATAGAATAGAATAGAAAAGGAATGATACGAGTAGAGTGTAGTAGGGTATAGTAGGGTTGAGAAGGGAAGAGTAGGGTGTAGGGGAAAGTAGGGTAGAGTAGGGTAGAGCAGGGTAGAGTAGGGTATAGTAGAGTGGAGTAGGGTGGAGTAGGAAAGCGTAGATTAGAGTAGGGTAGGGTAGAGTAAAGTGGAGTAGAGTTGAGTAGATTAGAGTAGAGTAGAGTAGAGTAGAATAGAGTAGAGTAGAGTAGAGTAGAGTAGAGTAAATTAAAGTAGGGTAGGGTAAGGTAGGGTAGGGTAGAGTAGGATAGAGTAGAGCAGGGTAGAGTAGAGTAGAGTAGAGTAAAGTTGAGTAGAGCAAAGTAGAGTAGAGTAGAGTAGAGTAGAGTAGAGTAGAGTAGCAGTAGAGTAGAGTAGAGTAGAGTAGAGTAGAGTAGCAGTAGAGTAGAGTAGAGTAGCAGTAGAGTAGAGTAGCAGTAGAGTAGAGTAGAGTAGCAGTAGAGTAGAGTAGCAGTAGAGTAGAGTAGCAGTAGAGTAGAGTAGAGTAGAGTAGAGTAGAGTAGAGTAGAGTAGAGTAGATTAGAGTAGAGTAAAATATAAAAAATGAAAGAAGAAACAAACAAAAAGGAAAAAGGAAAGAAGCAGAGAATATAATAAAATTTAATTGGATGAAATTGAACGGAATAAAATTGAGTAAAATGAATAGAATAGAAAGGAATAGAATCCTTTGATTTTGACCGTGATGCACTAGTACTGATCCTAGACTTCCTACCTCATTTTTCATATTTGGTCCTTGTATAATTCATGAATATATTTAAATTTAAGAGATAGAGAATAGAATGCCACACATGCTTGTTTCGCGTCGAGACGCTAGCACTAGCGGCTGAAAATGAAACCGCGTTGATTCGGTCTGGTTCGAAGTTCGCCTGCCAATAAGAGCATAGGCAACTTTCAATACTTTCCGACCATTATTGTATAATCGAAGGATTTCAGGCGTTTGTAATGCCCGTCTCAGGAATTGAGAACTGACATGCTAAGGTGACCAATTTCAGCAATCTGTCATTCGATTTTGTGTATATTTTAATAATTTGATGTAAAAATAAGAAAAATATGAATCGCGGTCCACGGTCCATATTTATTCGTGTCGGCAAAAATGTAAAGCGTTTCGTGGCAAATTTTTAAACTTGTAATAGAAGCAGTTTGATGACTAATATAGTATGCTTTTAACGCCATTTTCTTTTTGATTCCTTGCCGTCCGTATAAGTACAGCAGATTTTGAAAGAATATGATTTAACATGGTATTATTGAAACCTAATTTGATTGAATTGTTTAAAGTCTGGAGATAAAGTTATATGGGAAAGCACGGGTCACCGAAAAAAAGTGGAGTTGATTTGACTTTCTGGATGTTAAAAAAAGTGCGAGAACTTATAAAATGCTGAATTACCCGCTATGGCAGTTACTATAGCAATACCAAGATGTAAACCTAACTACTGCGTCGGGTAATTCAGCATTTTATAAGTTATTGCACATTTTTTTTACATCCAGAATGGTAAATCAACTTCACTTTTTTTCGGTGATCCTTTCAAGGCGTGAGGAGAATGCATTCTTCGTTTCTTACATCCAGAGGACACCGAAAAAAAAAAAAAAAACAAGCAGGAAGCTCCAACGCATTGGCGTCGGAGAGCGGCTCTGGGGGCAGTAGTTGTAGTCAAGAATGAGGGCCTAGACACATTTTGTCATTGATGTACAGTCCGACAACTGTCGATTCATGTTTTGTAACTTAGCAGATTTACGTAGCCGGTGTATAAATGTGTATTGGGCTTTGATATGGCGAATACATGGCATTATCACTTGTTGTATACTTTTAATTTTGAAAGCTCTTTGGAGGTCCGCTTCCTAAAAAATCTCTGGTTGATAAGTCGTTTAGCGAGGCTGCAAAAAATTTGCATTTTTATATCTGAAAGTGTAGGTATTGGTTTTTTGTATAATTGTTTTTTTGGATTGCTGGAAAAGTAACGCATACTTCTATAATTTAGGACTGAGTCAGGGAAATATAAGGTTCGTTAAATAGTAAATATTCCTAGTACCGTGTGACACTATTGTTAACGAAAAGTTTTTGCAACTTGTCAAAGAGGTTGTTGAATGATCTTCGAATAACTTTTGATGAGCTAGAGGTAATGGTTCTATCTGCAGCTCGTGGACTTCTGTACGATATTGTCCAGAATCATCTAAATTTTCAAAAAGTGTCCGCTTGTTCGATACCCAATTTGCTCATTCATGCATACAAGGAGAAGCGCATGAAAGCTTTAGCAGACATTTTGGAGATGAATCAAGAATTAGATGAAGAATTTATGACTTAAATCACGGCATCTTAATCACGGGATGACCTTAATTACGGCAACTATTTATTGTCCATGAGATGCAGATGGTTCCATTTCCCTAGCTCATCAAAAGGTATTCGAAGATCAATTTCATCAGCCACCCGTACTAACCACGTTTCTAGTGACCCGTACTTGCTTCGCACGTATGAAACATACAATCAGAGAAAACAGAATTCATCTTACAATAATCAATAATCAGTAGGACATGAATCGTTGCGATGTATAATACGACATTATAATGCGGCATTACTATTGTAATTCATTTTAATGGATTAGGGGCATTATAAATCATTATTGCCACGTCGGAATGAAATGTTGTAGACTGAATTGAAAAGCATGTTGGCAAAATTTATTATAAAAATAGTATAACATGTAGGTACATAACATAAAGGTAATACAAATTAAATGATTAGAGCGTGTATATTTCATTACATTATAGGTATATTACAATCATTTTTGTCATTGTTGGAAATTTTGATAGTTTGAAATTTGATAGTTGATAGTTGATAGTTTGAGAGTTGAAAATTTGGTTATTTTATTTAGTTAAGGTGATTCGATAGACGCCATATTTTGTGTCAGAATGGCATGCGACATATCCCATCAATTGGTTCCATTTTTTCATTTACTCATCATTTTTCTCCAATTTTAAGTTTCGCAATTCTGTTTTCAGGAGACTAAAGCACTCACTTATCAATTTGTATATTTATATTGAGTTAAGGGTAGAGACGTATTCCTCACCGGAATTGAGGAATGGAGGTGTTACAGTAAGTCCGGCATTAGGTTCCATTTCGACATCAGCGACGATCAACGCTACGATACTGGAAGCCAGTCTTCCGATATTAAATCCCTAGCGGGGAAGAAAAAAAATGCCTAGATTTCGCTAAAAATCCCTAAATCCCCAGATTTGCTCAAATATACTTAAAAAATCCCTAGATTTTGCAAAAAGCGCCATTTTTAACGAAGAATCATGATGTCATTCGATGTAGCGATTTGCAATATTTAAATCTGATTGGCTCGTTTGAATTTTGGCGCTCTCTGAAAGCAGTGCTAATCCAGACCAATAAAATGAAAGAATATTAGTTGATTTCTTATTATTAACAGGTTGAATGCAGTTGAATGTCAAGTACATCGAAGGACGCAATCGTTTTAATTTCCGGCTTATTTGCGGGGAAAATAGTGTTGCCAAAAAGGCCTACAAAATATAGATGAAAAAATGTTTTCGATTGTCGAAGCTAGAATTGAGGTTAAAAAGTTGATTTTTGGTAACTTTACCTCATCAAAAAAAAATCCCTAGATTTCCTGAAAAATCCCTAAATCCCTGGAAATTCCGGAAAATCCCTAAATCTAGGGATAAACCCTTAGACATCGGATGGCTGTTGGAAGCATTAGAGTCAACATTTGAAACGCTGCTGCAGAATTTGCCGGGAGTATAATCGAGTGTTGAAAGTCAGTAGAATTGAACAATGTAATAATTGCTCCGAAAAGAAAAAATTTCTCTCCGGAGCAATGAGTCGTAGCAGCGAAGAGAAAATAGTTTTCTCCGTAGCACTAACTAATTCAGTTCGCAAATGCTGAAAACGGATCAACTCTTTTCAAAAACCGGTAGAAATAATTCCTCGACATGGCACAATTTAATGTAGGTGTGTACCTGTCTCAAAGGTTACAGCACACCGAATGTATTTTCTGTTCTTTTATGTATTTTTTATCAGCTTATCGTTTTCCTCCTATTCAGATACACCCGAAACCGAGTTCCAACGAATCCATCGGCAAAAAGTCAAGGTTGCCCATTGTTGAAATAAAAAAAAAGAGAAAAAAAATTGTATATTCTTGAAACTATCACATTTCCTGGCAGGGAAAAATTGCATACTTATTCCAAGCTTTACAGTTAATTTAAAATTATTCCTATTTTTATAAAAAACAAAGTTGCAGGTTTGTACTTACGATAAGTCACGTGACTTTGATTTTATCTTCTTTTTAGGCTTTGAGTTCGACTGATGTGTTTCAAGATTTTCGATGAATGAATTGTCTGCTTCATTTACTGGATGCGTAATATCAGAATCATTGTTCGATATATCAGTTGCAACGTTCACCCTGTGTAGAGGAAAATATAAGATCGGTTGTTTTAAAAATAAATTGGAATTCTACTACATGTATGCCACTTGGGTTGAACAAAATTCTAAAAAGTTTTTTTTTAACTATGAGCGCAAAGTTTGACATCGACGAAAATTGGCCAAAGTGACACTCTTACATCCCTAATGAACATACTTGAAGGAATTTTTTGTCCTCCGAAAGGATCGGTTACAATAGCGCGTTGAATGCTGAAAACCCCGCATTTTTCGCCAAAATTTGCCTTCAGACCCATGTTTAGGCCAGTGGTAGACCCCAAAATAGATCGGAAATGACCAAACCATTATGCATTCCGTAAAATATAGACCTTCAATGACCAAAAAAACGCAGAGTTGAGGAATTTCAGGGTAGGCCCAAAAAAGGCCCTTAACGATACCCCTCCTTTGTCAATTTGCAGTATTAACAGTTGGAAAGCAGCCAATAGATAATTAAGATGCTTAAACCACAATTTAAGGGGCACCTACAGCCGCATAGTAAACATAATAGTAAACTTAATAATACTCACGTCTGTAAAAAAACAAATATGCATAATGAGATTTTGGAAAGTGTAATTTTGTTTCACAAGACTAATGCTCAAACTACAACATTTTAAGTGGTGAAATTTTGTTAATTTGCAGTATTGCCAGTTGGAAAGCCGCCAATGGGCAATTAAGATGATCAAACCACCTTCTGAGGAACATCTAAAGTCACACAATATACTTGATAACAACGCAAGGTTGCAACTAGAATAGAATTAACTGAAATTTTTACTTACAGTGCATAGGTTTCACTCGATTCTATTTTCTTTTCCTTCTTTGGCTCGGCGTCATACGATTGTGCAGATGTTTCAATGCATATAGTATTGTTTTGGATCGGGGTGGATTCATCAAAACCAGGAATGTTTCTGCATTTGGTTATAGCTGTATCTCTGAAACAAGCAAAAAATGGAGAGTTTCTTAGGTAGATTAATAAAGCTTCTGCTAAAATTTTTTTATTGGTTGCCATATTATGACAAGAAAATTAAACAATTGGTTATAAGGTGAAACAACAATAGCCATGAACTGAAATAATAAATGCAAAGCATTGCAAACTTGTTACTTATTATCATCGCATTAAGAGTTGGCAAACAAATTTTCTGATAGTAAAATGATACATTATCATCCAGTTACTTCCCAGGACATTGAAAAACAAATTACAGTTCAAGAAGACCACACAACTTCTGGTTACTAACAAATTAAGCCACCACTAAATATTAGGTATTCAAAATATTAACTCCTAAAATGGTCTTATCAAACGTATAGATGTCCAAAACATTCCTCAATTTTGCATATCAACTAACACTTACATATTGAGTAAAAGCAGATTTCTTACCTCTGAATTATTCTTTGACTGCGTCGACTCATTACCTGAAATGAAAATTAAAACAGCATTATATTTTCTACATTTTTTAAGTCAACTCAAAAACTAAATTTTTGAAATTCTATAAATACATTGAGGCTTTAAAAATAAAAAAGAAGAGCAAGACACTAGTGAGGAACTCTTGAACTATAGGTTAATGAGCTATAGATTGTGCATAGAAATTGCCAGTCTAAAGTTTCAAGAATGAGAAAATAATCAGCCCATGAGTGGGTCCAGAATGAGGGAGAAGGAAAAGTTGAAATAATTTTACTGGAAGGAGGGATAAATGAGGTACTCACCGAATTTATTCGTACAGAACATTCAAAAATCCCGTGAAAAAACAGCTCACAAATAAAAGCAAATTGCCATAGAAACTTCTTCACGAAATCACACACACAACGAAGAACGAGGCGCTACAGACGAGTCCGTCCAGGACAAGTTAAAAAATTCCCATGAGCCGAGTGCCGTAGGTTAAGGGCCCGTTCGCCAAAACTAATCGGAACTGTATGAATGAATTGCTCCTTTTAAAAATCAAAACAATATCGAATTGCGATATATTACACAGTTAAGATAGGGCTATGTCCTGTCGTAAGCGGCGATATACAGTCGATATCATTTCAATAATCGCCCCAATGGCCACGATAGTTGTTAGACGTTTACGGTTTCCCTGGTAACCTTTGTTTGCTATCAGCTGATATCAAGTAATATGACTAGGAAGCTCCAACCCAGTGGTTAAAGCTTCCTTAACCGCGAAAACTTTAAAATTCAAATTTTCAAATTTTGAACGTAAAGTACATTTTTTCCATCACGAGATAAAAGCACAAACAAGTTTTGAATTGTTGACTGTATCACCATGATTCCAAAAATACAATACACAACATAGCATTGACTAACAATAAAACAGTATGCAATAAAATAAAGTCATGACAAGGAACATAGCCGAAAATGGCGCCGATTCCCATCAACCAACGCGCGGTCTCTACAATGTAACATGCTGCATTGATACTCCCCAGCTGGGACCGTCCGGAATAGCAGCTCTAGTGCAAGCACCAGAGCCGCTAAAAATTCATAAATGGATAATGGATTCATAATGGAATGGATTGGATGGATTCATAATGGATTCATAAATTTGACAACACCGGATTTCCTCCGGTTAAATCTATGCTAAATAATCGATTCATGTCGGAGTACCTAGCCCCACCAAGAATCGATACATTTCCATAGGTTTGAATGGAGAAAAGACAATGTTGCCAATTTGCTGGAATGCTGGATCCGCCAATGTTCACATCCTTTCTTAACACCTGTACAGTGATCTGCGATCACCCATACGAGATAATTAATGGATCGAAATGGAAACGCAAAACATATCTTGACATCTTTGATTTATAAGCTCCTCCACTCTTCCTTCAAGATAATTCATGAGAAAAAAAATTAATAGAACTGTAAACAACGGATAAATTGGAGTAAATCGATCATAAAAGTTTTATTTTACGTATTTTTTTAGAAATCTTCTAATGTAAATAAGTTTGAATCACCTAGTGTCGTTCATTTTATTCCTTCAATTTGCTTTGTATTTAATTATTTTTAGCGGCAATGTCATTATGCTAATGAAAAACGTGTAATCAGTTATGAGGCACAGTGTAACTCTGTATGCGTAAGTAGCGTTAGACGCGATGCGTGTTGCGTGCTGCGTGCACTTGTTCCTTGAGGCGGAACGCTTTCGTAGGTATGAGGAATAGATTAGAACTTAGACGTACATTAACGTCTCCGCACAGTAGTAGATACTTAGCCGCGCTAAGAAAAGGTGTCCTGAAAATATTTGTATCAAAACGGTTGCAAGCGGGTTTTGTGCGTTGCGTGAGATTAGCTGTTTATTAAGGTCCAGTTACACGATCAAATTGAGCCACCTAATTGGGCCTCTCATTGGTCGCATCCTCACCTCAGGTCTTTTTCTACCAATCAGAGCTTCAATTTGATGGCTCAGTTTGATCGTGTAACTGGACTATTATGCTGCCGTGCTGAGCAAAAATACCGTAAATCCGTCAAGATTTTCCCGCGCTTTTTGGAACTTAACACTTTATAAAATAAAAACTGCTTTACGCATGCACCTCAAATTTTAATTCTAAATTTTCGAAAGAATTTGAGAAAGAAATCTGTAAAAAACATTGTCCCAAAGTACACAGGTTTTTTTGCTATGATACATTGCTTCGAAAAAATTTAAAATGGCGTTTACGGCGTTTTTGCGTTGCACGGCCGTATATCGTCACCTTCCAGGCAAAGTATCACAAGCGCCATGCGACGTTTAAAAATTTCCGCCGCCATTTTATTTTTTTACAGAGAAATTGTTCAACGAAGCTGTCCGAAAATTTCACTGAATTTTCTTTGTGCTGCCGATAAAATTTAGTGAAATTTCCAAACAGATTCAACCAACAGTTTCTCAGTAAAGAAATAAAATGGCGGCGGAAATTTTTAAACGTCGCATGGCGCTTGTGATACTTTGCCTGGAAGGTGACGATGTGTTCAACCCATCACAGAGCTAATTAAAGGAGACAAACCGTTGATTTTTATTACCATTGTGAGAAAATGGCAAGTCAAAGATTCGATGGTGAAACTCCAAAAATGCGTGTATCGGTTGGTGGCGTCGCAACTTCTTGTCATACTTAATGTTTTACATGGAAAAGCACTGATTGTCATTTTCTGATTACTCCGGTGATTTTCTTTGGATGAGGAGAACATTCTGTGAAAATTACAAGCCACGGTGGTGGTTCGGTCACCTCTTAAATTATAAAATAGGACCGGAGATTTTGAAACACTGTCTAACCAAGATATCGACGGTGAAACTACCAAACCACGTATCTCGGTTTGCGATGTCGCAGACTTCCTGTCATACTTTATTTTTTAAATAAAAAACCACTCAACATCCAGTCTTGAAAATTTCTGTGATTTTTCCTCTTTGTGCGGAGAAAATTCCGTGAAAATTTTAAGGAATGATATTGATTTGGTCTACTTCAAAAAAATAAAATGTGAGCGTAGATTTTTAAACACCGCAAACGAGATACGTGGTTCGGTAGTTTCACCGTCGATATGCATTTTTGCAGTTTTGCCATGGAATTGTCTTTCTCGGTTCAGCTCAGGTCTGTCCCTTGTGCGCCGCCCATTGGGCCCAGTCAATAGGAGAAGTCGGACAAAATCTGGAAACTTTGAAAGCTTATCTTTTCGAACATATGAGCGACAAAAAAATCCAGAGCGATTCTATTGGCTTTTTCGTGAAAATTCCATTTAGAAACACCCCTGGAAATTGAATTCGTGGCTATATCAAAATTAAAATTCAAAATTTTAGTCAAGGAATTCATTTCCGACCTCTTTTATTAGCTCGTTCTTCTGTGGGCCCAGTCAATAGGAGAAGTCGGACAAAATCTGGAAACTTTGAAAGCTTTTATTTTCGAATATATGAGACAAAAAAATCCAGAGCGGTTCGATTGGCTATTTCGTGAAAATTCCATTGAGAAAAACCCCTTGAAATTGAATTCGTGGCTATTTCAACATCAAAATTTAAAATTTTAGCCAAAGAATTCATTTCCGACCTCTTCTATTAGCTTGTTCCTGTGTGCGCCGATTCGAGTTCACTTACTTCCCAGCGGTGTAAGTTGAGACCAAACACCTTCGGCTTCCTGTCTTGTCCGCGATGTTGATCATAGGAAACCATGAGGTGGTAAAATGTTTGAGGAGTTAATTTTCTCGGGGATAGCGAAAGATGGACTAATGGCTCCCTTTCGCACTTGATAGATCAATATTTGGCGTCATAGATGTTAAGAAGCAGGCGTGAAATGAAAAAGGGGAAGTTGTATTACAGGCGCACAGTGGACCGAGCTAGTAGAAGAGGTCGAACATGAAATTTTTTACTAAAATTGAAAATTTCGGTATTCACTCCGCCACAATGCCAATTTCAAGGGGTGTTTCTGACGGTGCTTCCCACTTACTTTACCAAATATATACTGGGGCTCGAGTAATTATCCCCAATTTCTAAAAGTTCCGAGAAAAGTTCAGGTTTTTTTCAAAAGTTCCGGGTAAAAATTCTGAAATACTCCCGGAATTAGCTCCGAAGATTGTCAAATAAGATTTTTAAAAAAATCATCAAGTTTGATTCCATAATTGTTCAAACTGACGAGAACCCCCAACATTCCGAGAAAATTCTGAAATTAGCTGGGAATTCCGGGAATTTCTAAGCTTCCCGAGTAATTGCAAAAGTTCTGAAATTTAAAATGAATCCCAGGAAATGACAGCACTGGTTGCTGAAAGGAATTTTCTGGAAACATCAATGTAACCACTCTCAAACTTCTTCGCTGCATATTTTCGATAGTATAGGTTTTTAAAATTTTCAAAATTTTGTCCAATTTCTCCAATCGACTTGTTCCTTTGTAAGGCGGCGCGTTCGGGGGTGTTCAAGAGCTCTTTCTCTTCCTTTCCGCTCTTTGTGCGGGACTCAAGAGCTACTGAAGTTCTCCATCATGGAAACCGAACTTCGGCCAGCCAACCGTTACTCAGTTTCTATGACCGATATCTTCAGTCACCTAAACCGAAAAAGTCCTGGGGTCATGATGGATCGAATTTTCAGTCTCTATGACTTAACTTATTCTATCTGTGTGGAGTATGGTTAAGAATTCATCCAGCCGCACACGTGTCCTAAAGTCCCTATATACTGAGAGTTAAGACAATGTGAATCCGTTTCTGATTGGTTACCGTATTTTAGGCCTCCACAGTGTCACAAACGGGAGTAAAGATTACATTTTCACCAATTGCAAAGATTTTAATCTGGAATGGACCGAGGAATCACAGGTTCGACAAGGAACAAACAGAACGAGAGAAGGAACGGAGAAAGGAATTTGAGAATGAGCCCATCAAAGATTACGAAAAACGTTCAATTTGTGTAATCTTTATTCCCGTTTGAGACTCCGTGAGGGGTGTTGTCATAACTCTCAGTATGAAGGAACTCTATTGTATATCAAAAATTCGAAGTCGAGAAATATATTTATAATTTGGAAACAGTCGCTAAGCTTAATTCTTGTCCTTTTTTTTGTCACCTTTTTTCCTCGAGTAAATCCGCTCTCAAAACTCAAAATGGATACTTCAGAGTACCACTGATGAATAATTTTCAAAACAATGTTGCCTTTTTGTAATTTTTAATCGAAAATTTTGAGAAATAAAACCAAACGGACAATTTTTGAGGTAAAAGGCAGCGGTGTCTTCGAGTTTAAGTTGACTGAACGGATAAGATAATATTTACTTTTCGCTTCCCACCTAGAAAAAGCAGGCAACTCTTCGCCTCTTCAGATGAGCCTACTGCGCATACATGTCCTAGTATTTTAGGGTTCAAGTTCAAGTGAGTCACGTTGTTTTTTCGTTGAGGCAATGACATGACACCGGACTGCGGCACAGTGGCGTGGCGTGCTTTGCGATATATCGATTGTTATGCCATTTAAACCTATGGAAAAGGATCGATAAACAGGGTGTTCGCAGCGAACTTCTTAATAATCGATTCTCTACCATAGGTTTAAATGGCATAACAATCGATATATCGCAATTCACGCCACGCCACTGCTGCGGCACCCGCATAAAAAGATTTGAGAATATCATCGGCTCGTGCCAGATGCGGTCGTAGAAGGATTGGAGATCGAATGTTGCCAAGAGTTTTTTATTTTTTCTCTCCTTTTTTTGAGTGTGTGTGTGTCACACAAGGTGGTTTTGAAATTATCAATGCCAAACAACAAAACTGCACAAGAAAAATTTGGAAGAAATTTGGAGGAGCTTCGTGAGAGTAGAAAAATTGTTGACCGACTCAATACATGCTGCAGTGAGCTTATCTTGAAAGGGCCAGTTTTAACACCTCTGGCTAAGGTTTACCCTTGTAAAAATCGGCGATAAGAGCAGCGTTTCAAAATACCATGGGAATTCTTATAGCCGGCTAAAGAAGGCTACAGAAAATCATATTTCTGGCTGTAGAATGCGGAGAAAATCATACGGCCGGGCTATACGAAGCGATAAAAAATTATGCAGCCGGGCTATAGTTCCTATCGCCGGGCTTTACACTCTACCGCCTGGCTGTTGCTTTTTCGCCATCGATTATAAAAGGCTATAAGAAATTGTGTGGAAATTCGTGTGCTTTGGAAATCATTGAGTTTGATACGGAGCCACCTTAATATTTACAAAACACACGTTATATTTTCCTTTAATACATATTTTTTTTTTCATCAATTAAAACGAGAATAATCCATACAGGATGTGCAAACATTTCAAAATCATGAGTTGTATAACGCTGACTCCGCCAGATTAAATGTTAGAGCTTCACACAAAGCGGAGCGGCGACGCACTGGCGCCTACAAACCTAACAGGGATACTTCACGCATTGCGCAACGCGTGAAGTATCCCTGTTAGGTTTGTAGGTGCCAATGCGCGTTTCGCGCTGGCTGCCCGCCTGCCGCACCGCAGCGTGCCACGGCGCTTGAAGCAACTATTTCACACCAGAGGTATTGCACAGTATCATACGAAACGGAAGGCGCTCTAATATATTAGGAATGGCAGGCATCCATCAAAAGTACGGGGCTTTCCTCGCAAAATAAATCAAGATACTGCGGCCCAAAAAGAGAGCAGTGGTCCAAAAACTCAATAAGTCCCAGCATCCGTAATTAGTGACGTTTAGCATACACTTCATCGCCTGGCTGTGGGTTGCTTAGTCACCATCGGCTATAAAAGGCTATAAGAAATTGTGTAGCCGGCTATAGAAGCTATTGGAAATCTTACAGCCGGCCGTAGGTCCATGGTATTTTGGAACACAGATTCTACTGCCAATTTTTACCAGGGTAACCCCTAGTAATCGTTTACGAGTGTTTTCTGGAGAATGTTAATTGTATATACGATAATTTTTTTAAAGAAAAATCAACATTTTTGGATTAAAGAGAACCAAAAACAAACTTGGCCAGAGGCTAAAAAACAGGGACCTTCTCAAAGAACCATCTAATGTTCTAACCGGGGATAAACATTTGACGACGCGAAGTATAACGAGTTCTTGGAAGAAGTCGGACATGAAATTTTTGACAAAAATCGCAAATTTTGATGTTTATTTCGTCACATTTTAAACTTCAAGGGGTGCTTCTACACGAAAATTTCTCGAGGAAACCAATTAAACCACTTTTAAAACCTCAAAGTTTTGTTTGGGCGGAGTTATTAGCTTTTAAAGTTTCCAAATTTTGTCCAACCTCTCCCATTGACTCGCTCCACCGTGTTTCGATAGAGCGCCATCATCGGAAGCATGTCATTAGGATGTAAACAAGACTGCCGTACTAAAGAAAAACGCCGTATGAACATTCGAGAGTTGCCAAAGTTCCTTCAACCAAATGTTTATTTTTGAGAAAAGTCATGAATATTTTTCTTTCAAATTTTCAGGGGCTTAAGGTAAAATTGCGAGCAAAATTATCTGCAAACTTGGAAGGAAAATATTCATAAAACCAGGAAATTCGTAGGGCAACTGCTCCACTCGATCGGTTATACTGCTTCGCTAAGGAAGAACGCTGTATGAGCCCTCAGGCGTTGCCACTTTTCCTGTGATAAAATGTGCGCGTGCTAAGGTTTTCAGGGAATTCTGTGAACATTTTTCTTTGAATTTTTAAGAGAATTTTAATCACGACCACACTGGGAAAAAAAAAAAAAAAAAAAAAAAAAANAAAAAAAAAAAAAAAAAAAAAAAAAAAAAAAAAAAAAAAAAAAAAAAAAAAAAAAAACCACATTGGATCTAGAGTCCAGAATCTTGAAAACATTGACAAGAAAAAATACTTTTGATTCAATCGGATTTTTGCTTGAACCAAAACGAAATCCACTTAAATTAAGAGGCTGGTTCTTGATTTAAGCTAGATTCTGATTGAATCAAGAGTACTTTTTCTTGTCGATGTTTTTAAGAGTCTGAACGCTAGATCCAATGTGTTTTTTTTCGAGTGCAGCTTTAAATCATGGGAAAGTCTCAAGGGAAAATATTCATGACTCTCCTCGAAAAGAAAAACATTTTATCGGAGGAAATTTGGCAACGCCTGGAGGTTCATGCGGCGTTTTTCCCTAGCACGGCAGAATAGAGAACCACCGTGAAGCACCTCTCCACGCACGAGCGACGAGGCAACTGGGCAGACGTGCAGTCCAAATCAGTGGTCGGCGGAATACAAATCAGCTAACGGTCGAAATGTCATCAACACCAACACCGATAAAGCACGGAACGGGGGGTCGCGCAGTCGCACCCATTAGCGACGCCGCGCGCCGCGCCGCATAAGCGCACCGTCAATAGAGTAGACAGATGAGAGTAGACAGTAGAAAGTGCTCGAGCGTCGCGTCGCCCCTGGCCGAGGGCCCTCAGCCCTGGGTCCTGGGCCCGGAGTCGCCGTGCGGCCCGCAATCAGTATAGTTCTTCGTCCGTGTCTTGTCCGTTGTGCGGTTCATGTCTCGCACCCAAGTTCACCACCTTGACCTCGCGCCCGTCCTTTGACCCCTGGTTGGACTCAGCTGCTCACATGTCGCGGTCTGGACTGTCTTAATTCGAGGTGGGTGAAATGTGGATTTTAAAGGATTGTAGATGTTTGGTATCGCTGAAAATGATTTTCTTGAGGTATTTTTTTGACTTAAAGCGCTGTTTCTAGTTGACAAAATTTGTTTTTTTTTCTTTCTTTTTTTAGTTCAATCCGTGCGGATTTAACTTAAAGTCGATTTTTTAGTTGAAGAAGTGTTGTTTTGCTATCGTTTTCTTTCTTTTTATCGTAAACTTAACAATAGCAAAACAACGTTCCGTGCGGAAACAAAGTTCCAAATCCGTGCGGTTTTAACTCCAAGCCGGTTTTTTTAGTTAACGAAATGTTGCTTTGCTATCGTTTTCTTTTTTTTTAACGTGAACTTAACAATAGCAAAACAACGTTTCTCTAACTCCACTAAACCGACAATAAGTTAAGTTCGCACGGATTAAACTCAAAAACACCAAATTTTGTCAACTAGAAATGACACTTTAAGTCAAAGTTATATCTCAAGAAAAATGTTTAGTGATGCACCCCTTCCCCCCGTCCCCTCTAAACCAAGAATATTTTTAAAAATAATTTTAAAATATTTTCAACATTTGTCTTATTCTGTTCAAAATTGTTTAAAATATTGTAGACAATCGTTAAAAATTAGTGTGAGAAAATTGCTCAAGGCTTTGATCCTTGGCCCGTCTCAGCTTCTTAGTATCGGGACAAATCCTGGAAAGGAAAATATAAAAGTAAAAACAATAAATTATTTTATGGTTTTAAAGTAGCTCATGTTAAAAATTTATAAAAAATGAGTCTTTTAGAATAATTTTAACCAATTTTTTGGAATAGAATTGACATAAAACACATTTTTACAGTCGTGGAAACTTTTGAAATTTTGCTGAAATTTGCTGTTGTACAAGGCGAACCCTGAAAATTTACGTAGTTAAGGTTTTCACGAAAAAAAGTCTCCCATCATAATTACTAATTTTTCTGGTGGTTGCCATTCACTGTGCGAGTATTCATTGTTTCGTTTCGTGGTCTTGGTATGGTTTTGACCAACTTTTATCCGTACTTTTACCGAATTGTGCAGAAAATCGGTGATTTTGGGCAGTATGTGCGTCGATCTTCGAAATGTCTACAAAAAATTTAACACGTATCCTGCAATTCCACTGTTTTTATTCTTCTCTCAAAGAATCCCCACGAACCCCCACTCCCTCTATTTTTATAATGCTCACTATTGTTGGGGCTGGAATTGGATACAATCCTTATTAACATCTCCGATTCAGTTCTAAAGTTCCTATCACTGAAAAAAAAGTATGGTAACATCTACTATAGGTCTACTAATTTTTTTTACAGTCATACTTTTCAGTGGAAATAACCAACATTTTAGAATTATTTATCAGAACGCCAGTGATACTTACCAAACTATGGTAAATGTTACCATCGAGTCCGGTGTTTATTACCGTACTAAAATCACGTTGTCAGAATATGGTAAAATCTATTGTATTATTTTTCGGTGATAAAGTTTGATCGACAACTGTGGCTGCGTTTATTTAAAGAAAAAAAATTATCCAAAAAAAGTTGGAGAGACCCCTGTTTACCCTTATCTTAGTTAGAACTGTTTCATAAAAGCAGGATTGCTCACTCTGAAAAATAATTGACCATTGAGTATCATAATTCAAGATACAGCCTTGCAAGGAAAATTGAGGTGAAAAAATAAAAAATTTAAAAAAAAAGTATTTTGGGAGATGGCTTCAATCGAATGCTCATAAGGCTTTTTTACTGGGATTGGCAAAGTGTGAAGTTCATCGTTGCGTGACCCCGTTCATTGATGAACCGACTTCTTTTAGACGTATTTCTATCAAACGAAACTATGTGCATTATGACGTGAGCCATGTTATGCATGTATTCTTATGGGTCTCAGGGATCGTGTCTTAATGCACATAGTTCTGTTTTGATAGAAATACTTCCTTTTCAAAGTCAGTCCTGGTGACAAATCCATAGAGTTCACCATTGCGTTCCCATTCAGTCACGTACTTCACACGGAGATAAGGCTAATTATATGAGCAGTGTTGCCACAATGTGTTAGAATCGTGCGTGAAACAGCAGTAAGTTACAGGGCATGGAATTGCAATCTTTGTTGGGGCGATCGTCTTTATCTCCGAAAAAAGTACCTGACCACGCGAATATGTAAAATCGAACATAATTTGAAGGTGCCTTTTTCGACGCCAGATTATTTTTTAAAAGTACGTAAGGAGTGAAAATGAGCGCTTCAAACTTTAAATTGGACGAATTTCTAACAAACAGATCTATGTGCATTATGACGTGTGTCCTGTCATGCACATATTCTTATGGGTCTCCGGGCTCATGTTTTGATGCACATAGTTCCGTTTGACAGAAATACGTCTAATTGACATTTTTTTTAGAGCGATACCGTAAAGTTTCAACTGGTATCCGCTTACAGGAATTTTCATTCATCTTTAAGTAAAATATGATCGATAATTTTTCACTTGACAGCAACCTGAAAATGAAAAACAAACTGTTCACCTTTTTTTTAAATCCAAAAGCGGGTCGCTACCTACGTCTTACATTAATTATTGAAAGTCGGTGACAAAAGTCCCTCGGCCAAAGATTTATTACTAAGAAAACAAATTTACTAGCCTAGTTGTCGGCGATCTTTTAATTAACTGTACTCACATATTCAATCAAATGGAATTCTATCAAAGTAGGGATTCTTTTTTAATCTAAGATGGATTTAAATTCGTTTAGAGTAAGCTTGAAAGTACATTTAGACCTGTGAGTGTTTTTTAAAAAGTTCTACGGATTGTGGGTTAGGTAGTTGCAAAACGAAGGGCATTGTAAGAGTCTCGTCAATAAACTGTGGGTTTTCAAGATTGATTTTTTTTCACGGAGTCCTCGCGATAACCATAACGGAAATTATTGCGTTTCCCTGATCAAGGACCCTAAAACATCAATTTGTCAATTAAAATTTCAGAATCACCTTCACGCATCATGGTCTATTAGTGAAATAACTTATTGCACTGTGCTCTGAGCACGAGAATGGAGGAGAATAAGCCCAGCATCACCGGTTTATTAGTCTCTGAGATCTCGCCTGGAGCTGTATCTTGAGTCCAGACTCTTGAAAACATTGACAAGAAAAGGACTCTTGATTCAATCAGATTTAAGCTGAAATCAAAAGGAAATCCGCTCAAATTAAGAGGCTTGGTTCTTGATTTAAGCTTAAATCTGATTGAATCAAGAGTATTTTCTCTTGTCGATGTTTTTAAGAGTCTGAGCTATAGATCCAATGTGTTTTTTTCTCCAATGCGGGATGGCAAAATTTCATGAAAAATGATGTCTTGAAATTTCACTAGAAGTATTTCATGAAATTTCAGAAATATATGAAACATATTGAAAAATACAGGTTCCTTTCCATGTTTCGCAAAATGTGAAAACTGTGACTTCCTCCTTTTTTGTGTGTTTGAGTGTGGGTTGCATACTATAGTCCCTGAATAATATGAAATGGACCGCATTTAACAGAAAGGAACCAAGCCACATCAGCTATTGCCAAATTTAACTGGGCAATTTAATTTTTTCCATGAAAACGTTTGTGCGGATTTTTGTGCAAATTCAGTGAATTTTCTGCATAGTACTAGGCAAATTCCCTGAAATTTTCAAAGGAGTCCGCACAAACCTTCTTTTGTAAAAAATTAACTTGCCTCGTTAAATTTGGCAATAGCTGATGTGGCTTGGTTCCTTTCTGTTAAACTCGGTACAAATATTTCACAGTCTCGTGAAATTTCATGAAATATTTTACCAAAGTTTCCAAACTTTCATTTCTTTCCTTCTAACGTTTCATGCCACCCTGAAAAAACCTTCCTGCATTAATTTTCAGATGACAAGGGGCCGGAAGTCTATTCACCATTTCTCCAATCAGAACTCAGATCCGCTATCCTACATCTGATGGAATTTCGGTCAAACACAAATGAAGCGAATAACCAGTCCTATTTTTCAGCTGGAATATGATCACTTCGGCCGGATGGACTCTCTTTCTACAAATCGCGTTGTTTCTAACGCAGACTCTTGCCGACATACCTCCAAATATTGTTTTCATCTTGGCCGATGACTTGGTAAACGAATTCATGTAAAAAATCTATTCATTATCACAGCTTCAAACGGGGAAATATCGATAATCGATCATTCACGCCTCGCAACTGTCTGTCATACTGAGGACGAACGGAGAAAGGTGTCAAATTTTTTTAGTAAAATGTTGATATTTAAAGGAAGTCATCAATACCTTCTCTCGAAAATTTTCAGATAACTTAAATCTGATTGTGAATTGGATTTTCTGAAAAATTGGAGAACAAATTGGACTGCATTTTGCAATTTGGACCTATAACTTTCGGCCCGGTTTAAAAACAACTTATGTGCCAATAGTTTCCCTATGCACATAAGTGTTTTTTCAGATAAGCCAGAATTTATGGGTCCAAATTGCAAAATGCAGTCCAATATTCACAGATTTTCCTCAAGATTAGAATTTTATGAAAGAAAATTTGGCTACGTCTGTAGGTGTATTCGGCGTTCTTTCTTCGAATGACGGTATTTGTGTGTATCGTTCCTGTGGTGCAAGCGTATTTACTACCGTCAAATGGACCTCTAAGGTTTGAATTATGGCACAGTGGTACATGATCATCCCCAAAATATCACGTGGAAAACAAATCACACAACAAGAAGTTTGAGAATCAACTCCTTAACAAAATATAAATGTTTTCAATTAACATTGACTTAATGGCAAAAGTACAAACGACGTCATTTGTACACTCTCCCATTTGATCCGTGCTGAAAAGACTTGTTAATATCTCCCTCAGGAGTTGATTTCCAAACTTCTTGTTGTGTGAATTGTTTTCTATGTAAAATCTTGAAGGGAAAAAGTGTAACGCTTTCCTCTAATTTAGACCTTGTATAGTGGCCTATTAATATTTCGTCATAAACAACGAGGTTTGAATCTTTTCAGGGCTGGAATGATGTGGGTTTTCACGGGTCGAATGAGATCCCTACACCAAACATCGACGCTTTGGCGTTCACCGGTGTCATTCTCAACAACTACTATGTCATGCCCATCTGCACACCCTCCCGGAGTGCTCTCATGACTGGAAAACACCCCATCCATACAGGTGCGTAATTATGTGTGAAAATTCACCGCCGTTTTGCCTCTCATACATACCGAAAATCATTCTCGAAAACCGCTATTATCACCATAAAAAAAGTAATTGGTCGAAAGAAATAATCGCGATCCCATAAAAAATGAAAAAAGAACACGGCATGTTACGCCAACTTACAAGACGTAGAGGGTAACGCATGGATACAACTATTCGCACTCCAGATCTGTCCGTGTTGCGTGCTGAGTAAAATGAAGGCGTCCTGGTTTGCCGCGCGTAGCATGAGAATGTGCCAGTTGCGCTAGTAACGGAATTGTGTTTTGATGCTTGATTCTTGTAGATCAACTAAGAATAATAAGATCTGTCCAAACACAAAGGTTCACACTGAAAAAAAAAACTCGGTGTATTTACTGAGAAAAGGGTAAAATTACCAAGAATTCAGGGTTCTATTTGATCCTAGTATTTTCTTGGTAAATTTACCATTTATGAAATTGGTAATTTTACCGAGAAATATCGGTAAGATTACTGAACTTTCTCGGAAATTTTACTGGACCTTGGTAAAAACGCCAATATTTTTTATCGACTGTGAAGTCAAGTTTTTGAGAATTACCGAGATAAAATGACAAAGTTACCGGGAATTGATTATTACCAATAAAAGTGGTATTCTTACCTGAAAAAAAAAACAGTAAAGATACCGGTTTTTAGGTAAGCTTACCAGTCTGTCTTGGTAAAATTACCAATAATTGGTAAAAAAAAGTGAGATGGTAAAGGTACCGACAGACCTTGGTAAAAACGTCGAGAATTTTATTTCAGTGTATCCCCTCCCCCCTCTTTGGCGGGTCCTCACCTTCATCATGGGGGCGCTAGCTGAGAAAGCGTTTCAAAATTCCTATGTTACCTTCATTTTTTGTTTATTTTGAAGGGATGCAGCATACGGTGTTGTTCGGAGCGGAGCCTCGAGGTCTTCCACTCGAGGAAAAGCTGCTGCCTGAGTACTTGGCCGAACTGGGCTACACGAACCACATGGTCGGCAAATGGCATCTGGGCCACTACAAAAAGGAGTACACGCCGCTCTACCGAGGATTCCAGTCCCACGTTGGATTTTGGACCGGGCACCATGACTATTTTGACCACACCGCTCATGAAACTGTACGCACTACACAAATCACGAATATTTTGACGTATTTCTGCCAAACGTAACTATGTGCATGAAAGATGTGAGTCCTGAGACCGATAAGAACACATGCATAAGAGGGATCAAATCATAATGCACATAGTTACGTTTGGCAGAAATACGTTCATTTCATTGTTTAGTTTGTTTGAATTGCATTTGTTACAAAATGATATGCAGCACAATCTGAGCAGCATAGCAAGTCTCATACGTCATTTTACCGAGCTTATCCTTAATTTCTGAAGTCTGATAAAACCAGTTAGTCAAACTCGTTCGTTTGATGAGTTTCACAAATGGACATATTTCTGTCAAACGGACCTAAGCGCCATAGGGTGAGGATGGTAGAGGGGGGCTTGGATTGGCGGCGAAACCGGGCGTCGGGCCCATTCCGTCCTATACTCGCAATGCTTTTTCACGGCGCTTAGTTCCGTTTGACAGAACGCGCTATCCGACATTCGAAAATTCCTCAGAAGGAACTCGAATCGGCGCTTAGTTCCGTTTGACGGACATACGTCCAAATATTTGACCGTCTGAACGGAGCCTCAACTTCCCCCAAGTTTGAGCTTTTTACTCCTGATTAAAGCCTCCTGCACGGAGAGAAAAACTTCATGCGTGGGACCCGAAGTTTAGGTCATATGGATCTCTGAAGTTTTTGGATTGACCATCTGAACACTTTAGGTCCAGCTGCTGAGGTTTGGATCACACATCTGAAACTTCAGTTCTTACATCTGAAGTACTTCGGGTTTCACATCCGAAAAACTTCGGTTCTCACATCCGAAAAACTTCGGCTCTCACGTCTGAAGTACTTCAGATGTAAGAACTGAAGTTTCAGATGTGTGATCCAAACCTCAGCAGCTGGACCTAAAGTGTTCAGATGGTCAATCCAAAAACTTCAGAGATGCATATGACCTAAACTTCGGGTCCCACGCACGAGGTTTTTTCTCCGTGTAATTCTGCATCCTCCTCGTATTGCAGGGTACCTGGGGCCTGGATATGCGGCGCGGGCTGGAGGTTGCCTACGACTTGCACGGTCAATACTCGACGGAGATATTTTCGCGAGAGGCGAGCGCCATCATCCGCTCTCACAACACTTCGACACCGCTCTTCCTGTACGTGGCGCACGCTGCCATGCACTCCTCCAACCCCTACAGCCCCATCCCTGTGCCCGATGCTCTTGCAGCCTCGCCCATATTCAGCCATATCCATGACTTTCACCGGAGACAATATGCTAGTAAGTATCGCACTCGTAATAGATTTTACACGGAGAAAAAAACTTCGTGCACACTGAAAAAAAATTCTCGGCGTTTTTACCCAGGTCCGTTGGTACCTTTACCATCTCACTTTTTTTATCAATTATTGGTAATTTTACCAAGACAGACTGGTAAGCTTACCTAAGAATCGGTATTTTTAATGTTTTTTTCAGGTAAGAATACCACTTTTATTGGTAATCAATTCCCGGCAACTTTGCCATTTTATCTCGGTAATTCTACCACAGTCGATAAAAAATATTGGCGTTTTTACCAAGGTCCAGTAAAATTACCGAGAAAGTTCAATAATTTTACCGAGATTTCTCGGTAAAATTACCAATTCTATAAATGGTAATTTTACTAATTGTAAGGAAAAACTGGGATCAAATAGAACCCTGAATTCTTGGTAATTTTACCCTTTTCTCAGTAAATACACCGAGATTTTTTTTTCAGTGCATGGGACCCGAAGTTGAGGTCATATGGATCGCTGAGGTTTTTGGATTACGAATCTAAAAACTTGAGGTCCAGCTGCCGAAGCTCGGGTCAGACATCTGAACTACTTCGATATATACCGGCCAAGGGTTCGGGTCACGCATCTGAAGTACTCCGGTGCATACCGAAGTGCCTCGATGTCTGACACGAACTTCGGTAGCTCGACCTCAAGTTTTCGGATGTGTGATCAGAAAACTTCAGAGATCCATATGACCTAAACTTCAAGTCCCGTGCACGAAGTTTTTTTTCTCCGTGTAATGCTTAAGAATAATACACAGAAGCTAAAGTCACACGATCAAACGCGGTGCTATCAATATATCAAGATTACTGCCGTGCTAAGGAAGAACACCGTATGAGCCTTAAGACGTTGCTAAATTGACTTCGATAGAAACAGAATTTACTAGGGAAATTGTGAAACTACTAGGAATCACTAAGAAGAAAATTGTGTGTGGGAAATGTGTGTCCCTCCCCCTTAATTTTTTTTTCACACAATTTTGCACACAAATGAATCTAAAATATCTGAAAGTTTCAAAGAAAAGTATGCATACATGCATTTGGTCAAAAATACATGTTTTAGAAAGGAAAATTTGGCAACTCTCGAATGTTCATACGGCGTTTCTCCTTAGCATGGCAGATTAGGTGCCGTGATTGGCTAATGTGATGACTTGGACCTCGGACTGGATACTATACAAGCTAAAAGCTCTAATACATTCGTATTATCCGGAACTCTAGTGATTCTTACCATAATTTGGTAAATACTTCCATAGGGTTTGGTGCTTATTACCATACTCGCTTCAAAGTATGGTAAAATCGAACCATATTTTTTTAGTGGATGAGGAACGTTAAGTGGAAGAAATCGCTTAACCGAAATTTCGCTTGTCAATTTTGAGAAAACTACACCACCGTCAAAAAGTAGATTATAGAAAACCGATTATCGTCCTCCTTTCTTCGATACCAGGAGCATTAAATAAACGTATAACAGATAAATTTATTCTAAATTTGTGAGCCCCCTATCCGCCATCTTGTTGTTGAGCCGGTGCGCCATTTGAACGCAATATGGTGAAATTTGAACGCTAAATCGCATATTAGCGCCTTCCAAAACCGCGAGATACTTCATGCATTGCGCGTACAGCACGGTGCGCGGAAGGCATAGCGCCTTACAAGTCTGCAGGATACTTCGTGCATTGCGCGTAGACCACGGTGCACGCTCGAGTCGTTGAAAAGTCGTGTCCGCCATGATAATCCGGTGCGCGATTTGAACTCAATATGACTGGTATTCTGCCGTGCTAAGGAAGAACGCCGTATGAGCCTTCAGACGTTGCCATATTTCCTTCCCTAAAAAACGAATTCACTGGGAAAATGTTTAATATTTTTCTCAAAATTTTCAAGATAATTTTGTTCGCAATTTAATTAAAAATATCTTAAAATTTCAAGGAAAAATAAGATTAACTTTCCCCGAAAATACATGTTTTACCCGAACTCTCGAATGTTCGTACGGCGGTTTTCCTTAGCACGGCAGTATTCTAGAATTCTATGTGCAGGTCGAAATCAATAAGCGCTAAGCGCTTAAAATACGTACCTAAAATTGATCATTGGCGACTTGAGACAGCTCGTTAAGAATTTTTGGTACTGTAGAAATTCGAGAAATATTGCGTCCAGAGTTTTAACCTGGAAAGAACAAAGGCCAGACTGGTTCTGCAAGTCGCGCTTTTGGGTTTAAGGCTGATGGCCTTTATCCAGAGAAGTCTTTGTAGTATATAGCCGCTCAGTACCAGTAGATCTCAGTGGCGTGGCGTGAATTGCGATACATCGATTTTAAGCCATATAAACCTACGGAAAAGGATCGATAAATAGGGTGTTCGCAGCGAACACCTAAATAATCGATTCTTTATCGTAGGTTTAAATGGCATAACAATCGATATATCGCAATTCACGCCACGCCACTGGTAGATCTCTAGTAGAAAATGCATCACTAAAAGGACAAAGGAGCGCTCCAACCTTATCCACCTGAAAAAATAAAATAAAATAAGGAAACCATACGTGTATACTTTCTCGGATGATTTGCAATTTTTACAACTAACAAATGTCAAATTTACAGTCGCGTTGCATAAATTGGACGAGTCCGTTGGTATGGTCGTGGAGGCACTAAGCGAGAGGAAAATGCTGGAGAATACGATTATTGTCTTTTCTTCGGATAACGGCGGCCCTGCGGCTGGTTTCAATCTCAACGCAGCATCCAACTGGCCCCTCAGAGGCGTAAGTTATAATCTCTCGTCATTCCAATTTCACTTGTTGAGCGTTCACCACGTTAGCAGTGTACGCTCTTTCCCGTCGTTTTGCATCGGGCATGTTACTAATGTATCCCCATTGGTAAAGGCCCGCACTGCTCCATGGGAATCGGCGCCATTTTTCGTGGCGGGAAGCAATACCTATTTTCTCAATTTTTTTAATGTACCATTTCTACCTTTTTTCTCCTATTTTGTCCACTTTATGTAATGCCTATAGGCTTGTCGTTGAGAAATTAATATCTTTACGTTTTAAAACTCCTCAACGTACTTTTATTTAATGACTCTTTCAAGGGTCGTCCAATTTTTTTGTCGTCGTAGTTCTAGAAAAATCTTTGGGTACAAAGTACCCCTTCACTTATGACCTCTATATTTTACTCCATGATGACAAGACATTTCTTGTATATATGTATGTTTCCTAGGTTACGCTCCACGTTTAATTCAACGGCGTCTTGCAGCGCAAATTTTCGTTTATACTCTCATTTTCAAAATTATCTGTAAAGACGTTAATAGCCTGAGACGCTGAATGTCTTAAAATTATAATAAGTAATTAACTAACTCTCTTCCTTCCGCGCAAAACCACTTTTACATATTGACGAGGTGCTACGCGGTGAACGCTCTCCAACGTTTTAACGTTGGAACCGTCGTCTTGTTTTTTCTTACATCACTTGATTTTTGAAAAACTTTTTGCCCTTTTGTCCTTTGTTTTTGAAAAAAAAAGTTTAAGGGTCGAAAATCCCAAGAAATTTGGATATGCATTTCCCGCTTCCTTTCGTGTGTATGTGACGTCAGTGGCAAGTGGTGTAGAGTGTTTTGCAACAAATCGATTGACCTGCCATTTAAAGCTGTGGAAAAGGGTCGATAGAGGGTGTTCGCAACGATCACCTTATTAATCGATTCTTTACGATAGTTTCAAATGGGAAATATCAATTAGCGATCATTTAACGTCACCACTGAAAACTTCCCCATGGAAGGGTACTATAGGAATAAGGGACAAAAATATACACGCCTCTAAAGCTACATGTACCAATTATATAACAAAACCTTGTTCAATCGAGTATGAAACGCCCAAGCGCCGAGAGAGCAACTATTCGAACGTCGAAGAAGTCAAATTGCCTATGTGCGCAATTGAAGGCGATTTATTCGCGGTAGCGCTAGACTGCCTAACATGGAGAGAATTGTCAAAGCTGTCAAATTGCCTATGCGCGCAATTGAAGGTGATTAATGCGCGGTAGCGCTAGACTGCCTAAAATGGAGAATATTGTCATTTCGATCATTTAAATACAGACAAACTGCGCTCCTCTCTGATTGGTCTGTGAATTTTTGGCTTTCATTGCGCTGTCATGACTCTCATGAGGGTCCCTTGAATGTTGCAGGTAAAAAACACTTTATGGGAAGGGGGAGTTCGTGGTGCTGGGCTGATTTGGAGCAGCGCCTTTGAGAATCCAGGTCGAGTTTCTTCGCAACTTATGGATATCACTGATTGGCTTCCTACACTCGTTGCAGCAGCGAATGGCACTTTTGACAGGTAATACTTAACTTTTGAATATACTCTTTATTGTCGATATTTATGGTAGGTTCAACTACTCCTTGAATGGGTTCCATAACTCAATTTTACTTATAAGTTAGTCGAAGACAATGGGGACCTAGTGAATGGGAGAGGTCGGAAAAAATCTGGAAACTTACAAGAAACTTAAAATTTCGAAAAAATGAAACAAAATAGTTTCAGAGTGGTTCCATTGGTTTTTTAGTGGAACTTACTTTCAAAAACACCCCTTGAAATTGAATTTGTGACGGAATAAACTTCTGAATTTGAAATGATAGCCAAAAATTTCATGTCCGACCTCTTCTATTAGCTCGGTCCGCTGCGCGGTGGCAAGTAGCAAGCTGCATGCGTTTCAACTCGTCAAATTGCAATGATTCGCATAGTCATAGTAAAGAGTTCATTGATGCTGAACTTCAAGAGCACCACTTTTGAGCGCCTTCGAATCTCGGTGATACTTTCCGCTTTGCTGAGCAGGTAGTTTAGTTGCCTAGTCGAACCAAATCCAATATTAAGGTCACTGATTTCACTAGGTGAGTACTCGCACTACGTGGTGCCGCTAATTCAAGGAGAAAAATGTATATTTGAATTCCATGCATAACAATCAGTACTTCGTATCTTAATCATTTACTTCTGAATGTTTGAATTATTTTATTCAACACAAATAGATTGCACTTTGCCGGTGACTGCTACCTACATGTGGCAGATAAATATTTTCAATCGCGTGATACATCGTTACCAATCTCAAATTAATATGATTGTTTTGTCAACGTTGTGCCATGAAGACCAGTCTTGAAGCGTAAAAAATCAGTGGAAGCGTGTCTCACGATGAAACATTTTGGTTCGCCGGCGCAGCGGGTCAATTCCACGCGAGCTGCCCTGGTTTCGGCCCGATTCCGCGAACTTTCGCCTTTGACCCGAAAAATTTAGTCGATGTAACCAATATGTCGATTTTTCTCTTTTTTGGACTGAGAAAAAATTTCGAGATTTCAGTCGTATCCTACGTAGTTGGAGGCGTAGAATCGATTCCGCACGGTCTCGACTCTCGGCGAGGCTTCCTGAGCCGAGAAACAGTCATAAAGTGGTCAAAACCGAGCTTTTCTGCCCAATTTTTGACTCTTTCTCTGGAGCGTTTTCATCGCATAGCTCGAAGCGAAGGACTCGCGGAGCTTTTCCGAGTCGAAAATCGTACTCAGCGGGTTGATTATAAGCGAAAGTACCTGGTTTCGGCCCGATCGGCAAACTTTCGATTTTGACTCGATTTAGCGTCAAAATCGAAAGTTCACTTAACGGGCCGATATCCAGTAAGCTTGCTTGGAATTAACACGCTGATTGCAATTTTCCAGTCGAAAAAGCTCCGCGAGTCTCTCGCTTCGAGATATCCGCTGAAAACGCTCCAGAGAACGAGTCAAAAAGTGGTCAGAAAAGCTCGTTTTTGACCAGATTATGACTGTTTCTCGGCTTCGGAAGTTTCGCCGAGAGTCGGAACTGTGCGGAATCGATTCTACGCCTCCAACAACGTAGGATCCGACTGAAATCTCGAAATTTTTTTCTCAGTTCAAAATCGAGAAAAGTCGACAAGGGACTAAATGTTTTGGGTCGATTCGAAAATTCGCCCATCGGGCCGAAACGAAGTAAGCTCGCTTGGAATTGACCCGCCGAGTGCGATTTTCTAGTCGGAATAGCTCCGCAAGTCCCTTGCTTCGAGCTAGCCGCTGAAAACGCTCCAGAGAAAGAGTCAAAATGTGGTCAGAAAAGCTCGTTTTTGACCAGTTTTTTTACTGTTTCTCGGCTCAGGAAGCCTTGCCGAGAGTCGGGACCGTGCTGAATCGATTCTACGCTTCCAGCAACGTAGGATGCGACTGAAATCTCGTTTATTTTTCTCCGTCCCAAATCGAGAAAAATCGACATGGATAACATGGACTAAATTTTTCGGGTCAAAATGGAAATTTCGCCGATTAGTACGGTGGGTACACAAAAAAACCCTGCACTTTTTGATTGGAAATTGCCGCTTTCAGGGATCATTCTTATGGTCATGAGAAGCCCTTTTAGAAGGGGAAGCACTCTAAGGTCCGTGCAGGAACCAAGATGGCGGCCGATAAAGATGGCCGCCGAGCGTTTTTTCAGCGCGCTATATCTCGGAAACTTCGTGTCCGATTTTCGTTTTCTTGATCTCGTTTTGAAGCTAAAATGCTTCTCCAGAAGTCTACCTCATAAATTTTT